TTCTAGACCGGAGTCGCTACTTTTCCATTCAAGGAGCTCCTCAGTTATCCTCACGAGGCTGAGTGGACCCCGTTCCAGACTCACCACTTATCAGAAAATCTGGTAGCGCCGGGAATCGAACCCGGAACCTCTGAATATGTAGCCAGGAACTCTGATCACTAGACCACAGAGGCGGTCAAACCCTACCATCAATGTAAAATTCAATTAATTTCTCTCCTGTAATATGACAAACATGATCGCTTTTGTACTGGAGTTTTACTGCATAAAACATGTTAATAAAATATAAAATAATTATCAGCATTTTTCAGTTGGAAACTTCAGTAGCTGTACACCCGACTTAATAGAACTGAGAATCTGCTGCCAGTCAGTGCGTACCGCCAAGCTTTGCTTCTGCACCAAACTGCTCATTCCCTCAACATGCAACGTCACGTCATGTCACAAAATATTGTCACGTGTTGGGTTTGTCACGCGACAAATAACTTTACGTGGGCCTCGGATTTAGCGAATCTTTATTGGACACTCACACTTACACTCGGTACAAGTGTTATCACTTCAACTGTGTTCTGCGGCGGCTGTCTTCCAACTGTGTTTTTGCTGTCTGTAGCTCTCGGCTTATGTAGGTGTTCTGCCGACTCAGTAGAGGGTACCCCTCGCCAAGGTTCGATCTCACGTGTTCGGCAATCCGTTGCTTCGGGAACGCTCCCTATAGATACAGTTATTCAGTATAGAGAGGGTGGGTTTCCCCATGCACAGCGACTAATAGTCTATTGTACGTCCCCNGGTCTCCTAGAGACACGAGGATCTTTTACGTGCCGTAAATCTACGACACGGGACCCACGGCTTAAAGTCCCTCCCGGAGGACTTGTTCCCTGAATTTTTCCGCCCTTAAAAATTCCACGACCTCCGCCGGGTTTGAACCCGCGTAACTTGAGTCATGAGGTGGGATCGTTACCCCTAGACTACGGTGGCCGCTCCCTATAGATTACAGCGGTAACGTGTCTTGTCTCATCCCTTGTTATTCAACAATTATTCGTTGCTACGATTTGTCGCTGCGGGAACTCCCAAATTTCCACGTATTCGTTGTCGTGGAAGTGTCCGTTTCGATTGTAGCCGTTGTCGCGGTGATGGGCGTAAGGTAACGCGTCACAATATGAACCGTGGGCCCACATAATGTTCTTTCTGTCCAGACAGATCTGTGTAACTTAGAAAATCTTAAAATAAATATTTGTATAAAGATTGTTGGAACACCTAGGAACTTACAAACAGAAGAAGTTTCTTACTGAGAGTGTAAAACGTAATATGAGGAATAAAAGTTAAAAAGACAATTAGAGTTTTGTAACGGTTACATATCTTGCATTTGGCAAATTCACATTTCACCTGTCGAGAAATCTCTTTTGAAGTGCATCGCGTGATTCTTCAGAAACGAAGGAAAATGCTGACACAACCTAGAAACCGGAGAGGCTGTTCTAGACTAATCTCTAGACTTGTAATCGGGATCATTCCTATTATTAATTAATTATTTATAACCGGGAGATACTCTGTTCGAAGTTCTGACGGGATACCGAATATTCTGACAGAGTTTCATGGTTTTCCTGTGTCACTCTAGACAAATCCAGAGTTAATACTCGTACATCGATTAGGTCACAAAACTTCCCTTAAAATGCTTTCCAATTTACCATTCATCTGTCTCCCTGCCACCCGACTCTACACGCTGGGTACTCAGAGCATCTGGAGATAACCCACAGCAAAACGAAAGAACGTAAAATATTCATGACTGACCCCTTACTAGTTACAAACGAGAATGCGAAAATGTTGCTTCCGTTCTGAACAGCTTTGTCTCTCGCGACTTCAATGACAATGAACTGGGCTGCTGTCTGCAGGCAGATGAAGCTCTTTTCGTTTTCGTCAATAGCAATTCTTGACCGTATCAAAATTTACACAGAAACAAAGACGCAATGATGTCACTTTTCTTCTAAAATAAATTTGGCACAGAGAGGAATTTAGCCCAGGACGAGAATGACCTCGGTGAATGAACCGGTAAAGAGACTGGCAGGCAAAGACTGATCCCTCGTATAAACACTTAGAACATCTCATTAGCTATGCCATTCAAGAAGATATCCAGCCTCCTCTCCTGTGTCTACCTTGGGCCAGGGATGGCGAACAGTCCCGCCACTAGGCGCCATATCTATGTCAAGATGGCGGACTTCGTGTGCTAACTTGCTGCTGCATATTTTTATGCGTTTCTGAATTTCTCGGCTTGCGTGCAGCTGTTTGCGAGCAGCACAAATACATTCACTTATTTTCTGTACTACCTCATATATATACACGTGTCTGTGTGTGTCTTGCTTTAACGGCCGACTTTTCTGGCTCCATTTTACGGCTTACAGGAATTAGAGAGAGATACACAGACAGCAAGACGATCTCATAAGCCTCCTTCACTTTTTTTCAAAATAAGGAAAGGCTAAAAATCGCTACTGAATTTTCACTCTCTCTGATTGTTAATATAGGCAGATATTGTGGTGATGATTAATAGTATCCACATTTCAGTCGTCGGTGGTTTGCTATGCACATCACATGCTTTTCCGCGGAACGAGTGTTTCCTGCACAAGCAGATACGCCAGGGCCGATTGAAGTCAGGAAATATCTGAGCCAAGACAGTCCTTCCCCTTGCTGTTATTGGAACCAGGAGACCAATTAGATCGTGGCATCTGAAGTAATTTGCTCCGTTTCAGGACAGGATTGATATCCCTCAAACACTACTATAAATGTTATCAACCTACCTTCACTCTTTATCACTAAATAATATATGAGTACGGAGGTGCATTTCAGCTGCGATTACTCGAATGAAATTTGTTTGCAATTTTGTATACCAAATTTGTATTGTTGTGAATTTATTAGACAAAAATCTGTTGATCGCGTTGAACGTGTCAGAAATGAGGTCTAACTGTATTTGTGTTTCTTTAAATATTATCTGTATCCAAAAGTTATTTGAAGAGACGTTTGTAAGAATTAACACTAAAACTTGTTGATTGTAGGAAGTCGCGTGTAAAACCGTCATACACCCCCCCCCTCCCTTTTTCAGCTTTCATGTACTCAACTGAACCACAATATCACGGCGCCCAGAACAGATGAAGACACCCTCACCTGA